TTTTTTGAGACAGGGTCTCCCTATGTAGTTAACACTGACCTGGAACTCACTGTGCAGCCCAGGCTGGTCTCAAACTCACAGTGATCTTCCTGCCTCAGCCTCCCAAGGGCTGGGATTACAGGCATGCGCCACCACACCCAGCCTTGTCAGGTCTCTTGCTTGCTCTGCGACCTTCTGTCTGCCGTGCACTGTTGCTCCTCTCCTCTGCAGTTGCTGTCTGCCATCCCACCCTGCCTTAGATACAGCTGGAGATGGCCTGAAACCTGTACAAACTGTGAGCTACATGAGCGCCTTTTCACTTTTAACAGTAGGTGATGGGTATTTTGTCTCAGCAACAAGACAAGAATAACTAAGGCACGCTCCCCCTTTCCCTTGTTTCTCTTGTCATGTGAACAAGTTCTTCCCAGTTCCCAATATATATTCTTCATTTTGCTCCTTGTTTGCCCTTTGGGTTTCTCACGCAAAAGCAATGATGTGATATTGAAACTTGCGTGTGTGATTTATTTCCCTTAAAATTATGGTCTCAAGATGATGACCTGGATGGTGTTTGATGTTTGCTTTGGCTCTGGCTTCCATAAGCAAGTGTAATAGTAAACTCCATCACAATGTTTTTATAATGTATTTCTACAAGTTTAGAAGAAAGGGCTCCAGCCAGTAGAGAAGAATGTGGAAAATTTGTATCTTTTTGTAGTAAATCCTGTGAGATATTTAAAAAGGGATGTATAGGGAAGATAGCATGTACTACTGGTGCTGTTTTCTATGCTCATATTAGTGGACAACATCTAAGAGTGATGCTCCCACTCTAGGTTAATTATAAAATGCAGATGAGGCTTTTGTGACATGATTATCGTTCTTTAGTCTATTTCGTCTGGTGACTTTGGGTGACAAATCTGGTTCAGTGACTGTTTCTTTCCTCCCTGGTGAGAGACCCACAATTTTCAGCAGTCTAATTATAACAGTGCTACTGAACATTTATTCTGAAAACAAATCACATATATCACAGCAAGATGGCAGAATGCCAGCTTCTTAATTGTGAATGGACTGCTGATAAGCCAGTTATCTGGAGGAGAAAAAAAATATGATCTAGAGTGTTTGTGAAGATCTTTGGTATAAATATTTCCACTGTGACTGATTTCCAGCACCATTTCTTTGGCAACAGGCTTGCAAAGTTCCTAAATATTTTCATAAGCTTCAGTGGGTCATTTCAAGCCAGCCACCAGCACACCAATGGTGCTTATGCATACTAGAACTGTAGGCTGGAAAAATGGTACTTTTAAATGATCTTTCCATGCCTTTATTCAATCAAAACATCCATTAAGTTTTTGTATTACATGTAAGGGTACTTTACAATGCTGGTTTTAATAATTGGAGTCACAAACAACTTTGAGGCGCTGATCATTTTGTGTACAATTTCATTGGTCTCAGATTAGGAATTATATTGATTATTTAAGTTGGGACAACTAATGTGCCAGGCAACATTCTCAATGTCATTATTTCAGTTCCCTAACTTTGTGAATAACTGAAGAGCTCAAAAGTCACTGTCTTATAAGTGTTAAATTGCCGATGTTTTATTAATCATGTTTACTCCGTGGCCCTTTTGTCATTCTGTGGCCTAAAATTAAGAGGTCATAAGAAATCCAAGAAAAATCAGGAGGTCAGCAATTAATGGCATTATACAATTTAGTTTTCTTACTTTACTTTGTTCCAATTTGTGAGAACTATTATATAACATTTCAATTTTAATTTTGAAATATGTCCTATATTTATATGTGTGTGTGATGTATGTATTTAAATGAACTAAGACACAATCAACCCTGGTTTTCTTTTTTACCTTAATGCTTCCAGAGTAGGTCAAATTAGGTTCTGACCAGGCTTAACAGAACTTTTGAAATTTCCGACTAGGGCAGACCTCTTTGTGTGCAATCTCACAGTACTAATGTTTATATCTTATAGCACACTTGACGATTAGATTTAAGTGATTTTAATATAGTGATTTTTTTTTTTTTTTTTTTTT